ACAGACACATTATGAAGACGGAGAGTACATCATCAGACAGGGGGCCAGAGGAGACACCTTCTTCATCATCAGTAAAGGAAAGGTAAGGACAGTGCGGTCCAGACTACCACCAAAACAATAATCAGCTGACATCACAATGCAGGGCATCGTGGTACATGGAGAATAAAAGACCCCTATTTTTTGATAGAATGGGGTGGAATTTTTGGGTGGAAGTTGGCTGTCATCAATCACCATAGGTTAAAGGAGAAGTCAGAAAGAAGCGCTGCCTCTTTCATCATCTCTTTCAGCAGCGACGGGGGTATCTTGGAAGGAGAATGGAGTCATTTGACTCCACTTTTCAGTAATCAGCACTGAGTTTCACACTGAGCACTGTCCTGTCTGGCTTCAACACTGTTGGAGTGCTTTCACATACTTTTCGTGAACATGTTTTGATGCCAGGATGGCTGCAAGTCTCCCTCCTCATTTTCTCTCTGCTTGTTGTCTTCATCTTCTCCATTCATTTCCTGTGCTTCCTTCACAGCTTGTTTCCTGTCTGTTACATCCACAAGCTCGCATGCTGTTTGTTTTCAGCAGGTATGACCACAAATTGATCAATCAGTGACACCTGACAGGGTTTTATAATGCTCGTCCAACAGTTCGCGTCCTCTAACCCCTACTATCACCTTGTTTTTTGGTTCGATTAATAATTTGGTAGAATTTGTTTTATCCAATTATGTTTCCTTCGTCTGGTCCCTTACATCCACAAAATGTAGATGGTACATGGTTTGTAATCTCACCTATACATCATTTGTATCATTTATAAATTGGGTAATGCTGTAATAAGAATGTGTTAGTAATATTTTAGTGCTTTATAATCCTAGTATTTTCCAGTAGTTCACATATGTGAGATGTGAGTGCTTTTGTTCCGTCCTGTTTTGTGTCCTTTTTTTTGGTACCTTACTTTGGCAGTAAACAAAAGCTGTAAATTTCACAAGGTCAGTAAAGTCACGTTGCACAACAGTACGGTCATGGATGTGTGGGTGCAGGAATGAACTCACATACATACATACACACCTGACCTTGTCAATGCTTTCTGCTTAGTTATTTCCACATCGCTCACTTTGGCTCTGTGTAGTCTACTTTACCTATAGGACTTTCATCCAGATTGGACGTCACCCAGCGCGCACACAATCACACTTTGTACCTCCTGTACTTCCTTTCTTTGTTTTGTGCCTGCTCCCACGTGAATAATTACGCTGTCACTCAGGTGTAGACAGTGCGCCGGTGCAGGATTTGCTGCTACATCTGTGCTGACTAATGGATGAAGACAAGATCCTTCAATTGACGAAACAATCGCCTTCATTCCCTTCCTCTAAAATCTACTCAGCTGCCATCACTTTGATTTGTAAAGTTTTCCGGCCCAGCAGAGCCCCATCACTCATGTTTCTTCTTGCTCGTGGCGCTTCCCAGATTCTTCATGGTGATGACAGTTACCTGTGTGAAACAGACTTGCGTTACAGTAGTGCTTCCTTTTTGTTTGTAGCAATGTGATGAACCTGACATTTTAAGACATGATTCCCTGTCTTGTCTTTAAATTAAAATGTTATCCATCTTTTTTTCTTGCTACACATCTACATGACATACATTATCACTATTCTTCTCCTTAACTTTCCTTTCTGTTTTGCTAGGTTAATGTAACCAGAGAAGACTTGCCCAACGGAGAGCCTGTCTACCTCCGCAGCCTCGGAAAAGGAGACTGGTTTGGAGAGAAAGCACTGCAAGGGTAAGAGTGTTCCTAATAATTCTGCCGCTTCCAATTTATATCTCCCGTCTTCCATTCTTTCACTGCTTTCCTTCTAATTTTCACTCCCAACCTGTCTTTTATATCTTTTGTCTTAGTGTTAACTTGGCACTTAGCCTCCAACTCCTATCAATCTCCTTTCTTTCCGCAACTCACTCTTTTGAACAGCCTTGATAACTTGGCAAATGTTTGGAATTGCTTAAAGCTAGTCCATATTATGATATTTGATTTACTCTAGCTGTTCAAGGCAAATTTTCCACGCATGAAAGAAGAATTATTTCTCTGGACCGAAGGAAGCTTGTTAAATATGATATGAGAAAGAGTTTAAATCCACATGTCTTTTTTTATGCATTTCAGTCTATATTAAGGCGCGTTTTGATCCACAGTTGCTACTGTGAGCATTCTAATTTGTTTGGTTATGTAATAATTTTCCCATCTGCGTAAACAGCAACAACTATCTGCAGATGCAGCTATTTCACCTCCAGCCCCTTTTTTGAAGACCGTATAAATAAGCGCACATGCAGTGACTGTGGCACATTCATGTTTCTCAAGTTCTATTTTTGCCTAAATCGAGAAGGGGGTATGTTTAAGTGACAGCGGAGATCCCTCACAACAACACCGAGTCACAGCCTGTCTGTGCTATTTTGCACACACTGATGTCACTCAGAAAAACAACAGGGAAAAGTCATTTATTGGGAGTAGAGTGGTGTTTGTCACAAAGTGCGCACTACCAGTTCAAGTCTCATTTAATTTGAACAGTATTATCTAGCTTCTTTTCCTCTCCATTCTGTTATCAAGGATATCTCCATGATGTCCTTGGCTGTATTAATGAATTTCTGCACTCTTTCGTGAACATTTGCTATTAGCAGCTGTAATTCACACAGTGTATGTCGACTTGGAACAAACAGATATAAAACGAGATTACACACTTCTAACATTACACCACTTTGTACGTTATAAGTCTGAACCAGCAGTGTGGATTCTAGCTGTGAAGATGTCCCACAGGTCAGTTTTAAGTAACTATATTTAAAAATGATTCATGTCTGTTTCTAACATTTGGTTTGCTCAAAGTGCTCAAATACTTTCACTGTAGACACTTAGATGTTATAACAGTATTTTATAAACCTGGCGTCAAGACCGTTGTGCTGAAGTGATATTTTTACCCTGCTGTTTGCTCTTCCTTGTCAGGATTGCACCTCTCCATGGACAATGGATTATTTAACATCAGGGAGTGAAGAGATGGAAAATAGTCTGAAGTGTATTATGTCTATGAGGGTCAGGTAGAAACAGAGAAGATATGCATTCATGCATGCACATTTGAGTGTGTCCATACTTAGACAGCAGTGTTAGAAAAATAATGAAGATGTCGCCATCTTGTGGCTGCTGAATGTGAAAGCCACATAAAAATCAGCGCTCAGACTCATCGGCACTTGAAAACACAGACCGAATCAAAGCAGCGTGCTGTGGAAAAGAGATTTCCGTTTATGTCAAAACAATAAATATAATGTTTATTATTAAAAGAAATAATTTCAATCAGGTTTTGATGAGTTTTGATGGTGTGCCAACATATAAAGATAAGGGGGTTTTCCTGACTGCACACATTTGTCATTTGTTTCTATCGCGGCTAGAACGGAGGAGTTAAAATTGAAGATGCCTTGATCCCGTGCTTTACCACATGACCTGTGAATAAATTAATGTAAAGTTAAATTTAAATGAAAAGTCTTTTCTTTTAGACATATAACAAGTTAACAAGGGTTGTCATTGGCCTCCAGGCTGCACTTTGAGAACACTGGCTGCTGGATGATATTCAGACAGCAGCTTGAATTGCACAGATGGTTGGGCTTTCCCTAAATGTAAAAGCTAATGACTAAAAGATAAAAGATGACAGAGCATTAAAATGCATGTGGGACATGTTAGGCATGGAAAGCTTGATTTCTTAGGGGAGGGACACGTCTGTTGTTGTTTTGAAGTAGACATTTTTTAATGTTTTACCGCACGTGCATTAAAACTAAAAGTGCTGTTTGTTGAGTAAGAATCAAACACAAAGCTCTAACGCATCATGAATGTAGCAGCTATTCTGATTTTGAGGAATTCGGCGACTTCTTTTAAGTGCTGCTAAAATTATGTAATGGAAAAAAAAAGTTTCATCACCCTGATGATTTTCACCATTTAATAATTAGTTATTATTAATCTCTGGGTCTCTGGCACAGTGTGTCTTTTGTCCCGTCTCCTCGCCTCAACCCCAAACAGTCGCAGTCAATGGCTTTGCTTGCCTGATCCTGGTTCTGTTGGAGAGTTTTTCCTTTTAAAAGGAAGTTTTTCCTTCCCACTTGTCACGGTACTGGGTCGTGTGACCCAGTGATTGAGTTTTATTTATTTTTTTGTATTCATTTTCAATCTAGTTAAATTCTAGGTTGCTGTTCAGACCTTATTTCTTAGTTATTTCTGTCATCTCTGCCTGTACTCAGTCTCCGTGGTTATGTTAAGTTCATGTCATGTTTTATCTCCATGTCTATGTCTCCGCGTTTCCTGTTTTATTTTGTAAGAGTCTGGTGTTCTTTGTTCATTGTAGTTAGTGTTACTCTCCCCTGGATTGTCATTATGTTTCATTCGAGTCAGCTGTGTTCTCATGTGTCTCCACTTCCCCTGATCACCTCATGTGTGTATTTAAGTCCTCAGTCTTGCTTTGCTCGTTGTTGCGTCATCTGTGTACCTCCCCTCTGGTCAAGTTGGGTGTTTTTCAGGAGTCTGTGCAGTTCATGTTTGCCATTTGGTTTATGTTGTTTTTCATGCAGCCGCATGATGAGGTTCCGTGCAGGTCATGTTCATGTCTGTTTTCGTCACGCCATTTGGTTCACAGTTTCCATGCATCTGCACAGCATTCTGTTCACGGTGGTCGTAGTTTTTCCTTTCAGTCAGGTTAGTGTTTTTCCAGTTTAGGTTTTTGGTTAGTTGCAGTCTGTCCCTGTTATGTTTTGTCTACTCCATTCTGCATCAGCCCAAATAAAGGCTCGCTTTCAGTTTAAGTTCACTCCCGTCTCCTCGCCTGTGTTCACGCCTGGGTCCACCACACACACTCTCCACACGGTCTGCCCCCGCTGGCCGTGACACCACTGTCACCAAGTGCTTGCTCATAGGGAGCTGTCTGATTGTTGGGGTTTTCTCTCTATTATTATAGGGTCTTTACTTTACAATATAAAGCACCTTGAGGTGACTGTTGATGTAACTTTAAATTAATTTAACAGGATTTAATTGAAGTGCAGCATATGCTTAGCATTAATATTATCCATGATTCATTACTCATATCACTCATTTGTTGGGAGTGAGGGTTTTGCACATGGACTATACAGCAGGATAAATAGTCAGTGGTTATCACAATATACTTTGAAATGTTGTGCAGTTTTGAAAGCTCTTCAAAGCATGCTTAAGAGCATCTTGTGCTTTGTTTAATCAAGAGAAACACTTTTGTTCAACAAACTGCTATCTCCGGCTCACTGTCTCTTGTTATAAACACCTTTTGTCTTAGAGTGTCTTGAGCTGGAGAAGCTTATTTGACTATACCTTTGATGGTCAAGGGTGTCTCGCGAATTGAAATGATGGAGATGCTGGCCATCTTGGAACTAGGCTTTTGATCAGAGGGCTCGTCTGCTGGGCTTTCTAGTCTTTCTAATTAGGAGTTAACTGTGCATGTCCTTGCTCATGAAACTCAATAGCCTATACTCAAAGGCTACTCTGTCCATCTGAAGACGTTGCCTTTGATCTGTGAGAACAACATATTTACAAATCAAAGTCAGTTCCCCTGCCAGCTATAATGGTTTGCGAGAGCTTGTGTGAGTGCTGGCGTGAGATGTGTATACGTTAAGGCAGTAGAACAAATATCAAATTATTCTCTAAGGGGCTTGCACATCTATAGGCCCTGAATGACTACAATATATATGTACCTCTTCGCAGTGATGGATGTTCCGGGAAGAGACGCACTTCGAGGGTGATATGTTGTTTGTACTTAAGGAGAACATATCTGATATCACATTCCTCATGTCACTGTGATGTGTTAACTTTCATTGGAGGAGTTGGACCATCACCTGCATAGACAATGTGTGACCTGACCTCCAACTCCTGAGTGTATTTTGTGTGGGTATGGTTGTGGGAATGTTCCAGCTGAAGGTGCTATTTAAAAAAAGAAGTCTGATGTAACTGGGAGAAGTTTGATTGGTATCGGTGTCAGAACACCTTCAGACCAACAATAGCGCTCTGATAATTCACTGTGAGAGTTTGTAATAGTGTGGATATGTTGCCACTATTGCACAAAATCATCACTTTCCCTTCACTCCAAGCCTCATTCTATTAATAGATTTCCCCCGAGTCACCGCTTTAGCTTCTATCATTCATTTAGTATTAACTACAATTCTGAATATTTTACATTGCTTTGTCTACGTTCTCTCAAATTTTTCACATTTTGGTAACTATACTATATACTTTTTTTGTAGCTGCTGCTTCAGAAGCACTTTATCAAAGCAAATCCCATGTTGCTTTTATTTCTAAATCATTATTTTAGGGAGGAAAATCCCTTTGTTGTGTAGCAGTGCAGATATGAAGAAAAAAAATAGTACTGCTTCTTTTGTTATTTCCCACAGGCCACAGATTTTGTTCTGGGTGTAGGTAAGGAAGCACTCAGTTGCTGCTGGAGCCCTGCACTGCACTGCACTGACAACGAAATGACTAAATATTTAAGAATGTGCCAGTCTGGCAAACTGTGTGTCCAAGCAGAGATTTGACAGTGTGAAATAATAAATAGAAGGCCAACCACAAAAGGTTTATTTTTTCACAGGCCTCAAAAATAAATGCTCTGTATGAGAAACACAAGCTCTGAGTGTGTTTATGGCAAGCTCAGACATCTGAGACTTCCCACATTATCTTTGTTAAAATAATCAAACATGGGGTGTGTGGTCCGTGTTTTTTTTTTAATAACAGAATACTGTAGCCCATGACTGAAATATAACTTCAAAGGAGACAATTCATGCACCAATAAGGAAGTGTTTCAGAGAAATATTTTGATTTCAATAACTGAGGAGCAGCGTCCTGGAATACTAGGAAAATATATTCATGAATGTAAAAGTTGTGGCATGCATTGAAAGTAGGTATAGTCTTTGTTATGCAATTTGTACTTAATGGGAAGTACGGTAGCTGCACAGATACTGTGGGACTCATTTAGTGTTGAATAATGAAAATTGCTTTTGGAGTTTCACACACACTATGTTTCAAGATGCAAGTGACTTACAACTTTTTCTTAATCCAGGTTAAATTTAGCATTTTTAAGTCATCAAAAGAGACACCCGGCATACAACCAGGCATTTGTTCTGCCCAGTATTTGTTGTTGATTTGGAAGCAGACACATTCATATGTATATGTTTCGATTTATTCACAATGTTCTGTCTGACCACTGATACAGGTATTTGTGTGATTTTGTGTTTCTTTTTAATTTAAATCGGTACAGACAGCTGTTGTGGTAAAGAGGGAGCTGAGCGCAAAGGAAAGGCTGACAATTTATTTATCAATCCACGTTCCTCCCCTCACTTATGGCTATGGACTGCAGGAGGTGACCAAAAGAATAAGATTTAACAATATAATTGGCAGACACCCTTTGGAACTTGCTCCAGGGTGACAAGCTTGATCTTTCGGGTAGAGACACTTTTCACATCAAAAGAACCAACTGAAGTGGTTTAGGCACCTGGCTGGGATGCCTCCTGGATGCCTCCAAGGTGATGTGTTTCATGCATGTCAAAGCCCCAGGACCACACCCACCAGGGAACACCCCTGAAAAACTGGAGGTGGTGGCAGGGGAGAGAGAGGTCTAGGTATCTCCGCTTAGATTGCTCTCCCCAGATTAGAGGTATGTGGATAAATAGATGCTGTATTTGGCCTGCCACTTGTTCTGCCTGACTCCTCTGCAAAAGAAGTTGCTACTTTAATCTCAGAGAGACTTTTTATTATTTGAATAAAATCTATTTTTTAACTTTAATAGACACACACATACACACACACACACACACACATACATACATATATAT